CAATATCCTGATGAAAAATAAAATCTCTCTGTTGCATAGGCCACTGTTTGATCAACGCGAATTGGGTGTGGGTCCTTGTATTCCGAGTCGGGCTAACGTCCACGCTAGCTTCCACGCTAGCTGCTATATGTTTTGCATTGAGGTGATACTTGAGGCTTGATGTGCTGCGGTGATATGCGAATTCCTTTTTGCATAATTTGCAAACAACTGTGCTCTTATCGACTCTTCCCTCCGTCCGTTTTTTAAAACAAAATGTCCCATCCACGGGGCCAACCAAAGCGGTCTCATCAGCTTCTTCGTTCACGTTTGACTATTGTTCACTGTGGTTTGTTGTTGTCTGAAGTAATGAACGTTAGTTGGTGCTCCAGTATAATCGGTACCCCTGAAACTCATCCAGTGAGAAACGTTCCGCGGTGCAAAAATAAGTGCGATTAAAATGCGTTAATTTTTTTAACGCGTTAATTTTTGTGTAATTAATTAATCTTAATTAACGCGTTAAAGTCCCGGCCCTAATATTTATATATATGTATATATATGCATATTTATATATATATATATATATATGTGAATATATATATATATATGCGTGCATATTATGCATATATATATGCGTGCATAATATATGTGTGTGTCTGTATATATTTATAAACTGTATATTATTTTCCATCATTCAATGGACAATTTGTACTTTTTTAATATATAGGCCTACCATCAAACATATGTTCATATATAAAGTGGGTAACTATACAAAACGAAGTGAGATAACTGTTTATGAATATCTGTTCAATTTTATGTAAACTTGTGTAACTCGTGAAAGATAAATGAGTGTTTCAATAAAACTATTACATATAAAATTGTATCGTGCAGTTTTTGTTTTCATTGCAATATATTTTTTTATATGTATCAATATATAGCCATACATGGTCCATGCATATATTGCAATATATTGAAAAATATAAGGACTACTTTCCCATATATGGAAATGTATGATCCAGTATATTGTATTATATTTACCAATATATTACAAGATATTTTTGTTTCATGCTTTTCAGGTCATGCAGTTATTTGCCTCTCCATCATAATGGATCATGAATACGATTAGGGTATTTTGATCTATAATTCATGCATCATCCTCAAAGCCTGACCTAGAACATCAAAAACCTCACTTACGTTCGACCAAATTACCAACATTTCTTTTTTTATCCCCAAAGTGAGCTCCCCTCAAAGATATTGTATAGTATACACTCTGCTCTGACCTATTAACTTATGGTGTCTGAGTCTTTACCTCTGTGACCTCTACTTAAATTACCCTTGACTCTTGACCTTTAAAATGACCCCTGATCTCATGCCTCCAGTTTCAGTTTGTATTTTTACACTTATGTTTTTATACAAAATGTAATAATCTATTCAATGATTATAATTATGAAGTTAACTGAAAAATGGTATCAATAATAACTCTTGCATCCCTTTTACTTATCTTTTTCTGCTGAAAACATGTGACCATCCTCAACACGATAACTCATATAACCCCATAACCTTTGTATTTGAATTACGAGATAAAAACTTACTTTCATTTCTGCTTTTGATTAAAATAGACAATTCAATCAAAAGCAGTCCAGTACGCTGTTCTTAGTCTATCCAATAACCCAGTTGGAAGTAAAATGGAGAGTCACATATTTTAGAGACTGGTCATAAAAATGGTTTTCCAATATGTAAGCTGCTAGGAAAATTATTTTATCTGTAATAAAGCTTAATTTCATAATAATCAGCTGTAATGATAGAGGAAGGGCCCTGCTGCCTCAGTTAGAGAACTGCCACATGTACAGTTTTAAGGTAATGAGTACTACAAACCAAAAGATGGCGCTGTCTTGCAACAAAACTGTCAGTTATCTAAAACTTGGTGACCAGTCTTTCTAAAACCTATGAGGCAGATATAATCTTATAAACTGTAGTACTTTATGATATTCAGGGAGGAAATAATGACAAATCTGTACTTACAAAGCACACATTTAGCACATTTCCAGTTTATCATATTATAGTTTTAACCAGTCCATCACTAATAAAGAATCAATTATCACAAACACACATGGTTATTATAGCATTTAAGGGATTTAGGTTGAGAAACAGATCAAAGAGTCATAACACTTAGACACAACAGGTTGTGAAAAGTTTATGGAAACTATTAGTATAGTAACTAAGTCTTAAGTATGATGACATAAACAGTGTTTCATACTTGTGGACAGAAGAGGAAAAGTAATCAGAACTTGTACTTTAGAACAAGTAGAAGAAGTACCAGAGTATCAGTGTAGGATATCCTGCAATCAAAATGTTACTAAGTAAAGTTGAAAAGTATCGGTATCAAAATATACTTGAAGTACCAAAAGGAAAAATACTCATTATTCAGATCGGCCAATTTCAGAATAATATTGTATATGTTTTGATAATAATGACTGATGAATTAAAGTGTTATCAAAGCTGGTAAAGGTGCAGCTCGTTTTAATTATACTGCAGGGTAGTGTGTGGGTTTACTCCAGGTGTAACTAAAGTTTTATTTAAGTCTTGCTTATATTTCACATCATTTATCCAAATCTGCAAAGTGACTTAAAATAATTGTAGTGGAGTAAAAGTACACTATTTACCTCTGAATAGTGGAGTAGTAGAAGTAGAAAGTAGCACACAATTGAAACTCAAGTAACGTGAAAGTACCTCGAAATGACTTTAAATACAGTAGGCTACTTGACTCAATTTACTTAGTTACTTTACACCACTGCATGTGGCTCAAAATGTTTTGTAGAGCTATGAGGGCATGGATTGAAGTCGAACCCATGGGTTGACCCCCAGGCTGAATGATCTGCAGCCCTATGGTCTGTGACGCTGAGGGCTGGTCCATGGAGTATACTGGAGCGTGCAGTTGCTCGAATGGGAGTGGGCGAGCTGGGATAGGCTGGGAGTTTGGTCGGAGCCGTCAGCGGGACGGGACAAGGCACAAGAAGGGGGGCAAACGAAGAACCGACCGACTATTAACTTCTGCCTTCTCAGCGGCTGAATGTTGGACAGTACATTTGACGTAGACAGCTTTACGGAAAATACCATTTGTTGCATTCAGAGGTCCGGGTCTGAGCGGCGCGGATGACAAAGAAGCGTCCCCGTGCAAACTTTCTCAACCGGGTGTGATCGCTGTTAAAACCCAACCGGGAATTCTGTTTTTCTTTTTATCGGAGGAGTAAAGAAGAGGACATCATGCCTAGGCGCACCGTGCAAGAAGTAACAGTGCAAGATGTCCAGAAAAGGAGAAATCCGAACAAACACTACGTAAGCCTAAATTATTTATCACAACCACACTGATTTGCTGCTAAAGTGAGCGACAGAAAGATGTTATTTTGCTGCTTTTCTCCCTCTCCTACCCGGTAGAGTAAAAACAAAGAGAGTATCAAATTACAGTTTACCAAGCCAGCCGAAGCGATCTGTTGTTTAATCTTTAGACATATTATGGATTCATAAAGAAAAAAAAACAATACCAAACAGATGTGTTACATTCCTACAACCCATAAGACATTTAAACAAGTTTGATCGTCGTAAACCGTTATGGGCTTGCTTATAGTTTTGGCTTTTTTTCAAGTTGACATTTATCTTACACCTAATGGGTTAATCACTTCTTTGTTTGAGTTTGAAATTTAACCAGCAACTTCTTAATTCAGGAAACAGTGATGTTGTTTTGAGTAACGTTAAACTCATGTGACATTTGACCCTCTCTGTCTGCATACATTCAATTAACTATCAACAGTTCAGTTGCTTATCACATGTTTACATGAATGTAGGTATTGTATTAATTCTGCCATTAGAACTGTTGATAGAGTCTGCAGTCTCGATCAACAAAACAATTTATAGTAATTTCTAGGTCCTGCTGCCTCTGGTGTACCACCAGAAAACATTTGAATAGGCAAACCAGTCCAGTCCACAAACATCCAGATTAATCCCCATGAGTTTAAATTGAGCAACAGCTTTGTCATGCCTCAGCCACCTCCAATTTACTCAGAAAAACATGCCTTCAGGCACTGGCGAACCAGGAAGTAGGCTAGCAGAGTTTCTAATGTCATCACGGTGAACACAAAGCAATGTTTGAAAAAGGGTCGGGCCTAAACAGTAAAAACCATATGCCATGTGGCATTTGTAATTTCATTACCTCAGTGTTACAGTGCAGTAGCTTTATTGCACTTTTTATTTTATGTGTGTTTTAGGTCTAGGGCATGTCTGCTAGTCACTTTTATTGAAAGGCTACTTATGAAGATTTCTGATTTAGGTGTTGTCCATGTTTCAGTCTTGAAACTTTCACACTTTCACCATGTGTTTTCAGTTTATTGATTGTTACATTTCCGTCCCTTACATATCTTGTTTAGTGTACAGTGGTACTTAGCTCCACCCTCACATGCCTCTTATGGTTCTAAAAAAACGAAATTGCGAAGGCCAATACGCCAAACAAGTCGACTATGTCTAATTCTTACACAGGCTATGGTTCTTCCCAAAACTTTGTGTGGGGTCACAATAAGAAAGTACAATAAGAGTCTGTTGATATTTTTCCTGTTTCAACAGTAATTCCCCATTGGAACTGCAACCCCAATTGTGTGGGGGACAAGAATGTCTAAAAGACAAAGACCGTCTTCTTGCTTTCTGCAATTTTGAAACAATGGTGGTCTCATTATTTTGCCGTTTAAAAGCATGTGGGTGAATTTGTCTGCACGCAGTTAGTTTGAAGTAACACACATGACATCATATGATCTAGAAGGCCAATCGTGAGAGCCACTACCAAGGCCATAGCAGGTGTTAGTGTTAGTTCTATGTGCATGGTGTGTGTTCTGTATTGCATATGTGGGTTTGCCTCCATATATGTGTGTAAATTATGCCTTATACCGCTGTGAGTGTTAGTGGTCAAGGACACAGAGTTCTCGAGGTCCTGTGTCCTCTCCATCTGTCTGTTTGCTCTGTGGTGCAGCCCATGTTGTTTTGTGCTTCTGGTTCTCTCTCCACACATGCAAGCGGGACATATTAAATCTTCCAGAACCCTGGAGGTGTGGTTAAAGTTTACAAAAAGCAGCTTATAGCTCTTCTGCTCATCAGAGTTGAACCAACTCTATAGAAAGGAAAATGCTTGAAAATCGAACTCCTAAGAGACATACAGATTAATATATGAACATTGCATTTCCAGTATTAGTATTTTATTGACCAGAGACGTTTATATAGTTTAGGTTATAGCCACCCCGTTTCTTCCACAGAGCTATAGCCTATGGCTTATATTTGCCATTGTAGATGTTGTTCTGGAAAATTAGAGAGCCTTTTTATATTTGGATATACTGAGCCAAGGATAATGTTTTTGTATATAATTGTTCTCTCTCTTATGTAGCAAACAGTTTTTAGCCAAAGAAAATGCCCTGAAAGTCAAATGTTCTCATGTTGGATACAGATGTATCCATTGGCTTAAGGTTAAACACACCAATACATAATTCTTTATTTAATGAATAAAGGCTGGTCTGCATAGCTTCTGTAGTGGATCCATCCATGGACATGTCTAACCAAAGTGCCCTGAAAGAGAGTGAGCGAGGCCAGAGAAGGTCTGGGAGAGAGGCCAACACAATTCAGCCAGACACAGCAAGCCACCAGGGAGTTTCCAATCACCTCCCTGCTTCTCCCCTAGTCTTCTTTGGAAATCAAAATAAAGAACTGTGTCTGTTCCCTGTAGACTGCAATGATTAGGCTAGATGCTTTTCGCTGGATATTTAGTTTAACCTGGTATACTGTTGCTGATGGAATTTGCACAAAATAACTGTTTTAATTCACTTAGTTCCACATAGGTAGCAACAACTAATATCTGTATCCCAATGGAGTCCCAAAGGCTAGATGCTTTTCATTGGATATTTAGTTTGACCTGGTATACTATTGTTAATAGCATAAGGCTGATGGAATTTGCACAAAATAAATTTGTTTTAATTGACTTAGGTAGCAACAACTAATATCTGTATCCCAATGGACTTAAAGCATTTTGCAATGTACCTAAAAATGTGCAATATTGAACACAAGGCAAAGTCAAATCTGCTGCATCAGGGATAAGGACTTCCTCTTCAGCAGGAAGCGACATGAATAAGGAAATGAAATAATCGGATATCCCAGATACCTTTGTGTGAACAGATGTTGATAGTGACTGCAGCCTTTCGTCATGCCATCCTCTCTTAGAGTCACAGCACTGCCAATTACTGGCACCATGAGTCATGACTGATGCTCCGGGGGGTTTGCATTGTCAAGTGGTTGACAATAATAGCTGTCTGTTAGTTTAAATGTCCCACTAATTTGTCTCTTTTGTTTTTACAGGTTTACATCATCAAAGTGTCCTGGAGCGATGGCAGTACAGAAAGCATTTTCAGACGCTACAGCAAGTTCTTTGACCTCCAGGTGAGTAAGAGTGCATGTGTCACTGTTTGGCAGTGTGTCTTGGTATGCTATTGGCTGTAGTCGTGTGTGCTGTTGCATGTATAAAGACAAGGAGACAAGTTCTATCTTTTCCATCATTGAAGTCTTGCATAAAACAGGAAGTGAATGGAGGTACTTTCTACATTCAACACTGTCTCCATGTAGACCTTGTGCTGGTAGCCAAGCTATCCCTGCTCCACCCTAACAACACTGGTAATTATATTGTGCGTGAGGAGTCGGAAAATGTCCCAATGAAGTTAATAGAGGACAGTGATGAATGTGTCCACCGCACTGATGACCACAGAAATGTCTGAATCATTCCCGAACGTCACGCTGGCAGTGTGTGTGTTGCACAAGGAGGGAATCTCATTAGTATACTAGTTTCCCTTCCTCTTTCAAAGGTAATGGATCTGAGACCCTGGCCGCATCTAAGCTTAGAGAACATAGACTTAAGGAAACGCAGAAAGGCAACCGTTTCTAATGAGCACAAAGTCAATAAAGGAAAAGCATACTGTCAATCCTAATTGGATTACATTCCTTTTAATTGATTTGGATGGTCAAAGCATGAGCAATGAATTCAACAATTACAATGATCTTCCAAGGTTTCTCTGAGGCTGCAAGTGTCATGTTAACCAGAGGAATATAAAAGGTTTCATTACTAATTTCATTAAAGTTTGACTTAAGGCTTCTGAAGCTGCCAACAGTCTTACTTATAAATCGACTGATACCACACTCATGATTATTTTTTCAATTCTAGCATCTATCGATTGTTGAAATCATGTTAAGTGCTGTAATGTGCTCTTTAATGATACAAATGTAAGAGGTATTCAATCATCCATGCCCACAGTAGAAGAACTTTCAATCATTAAGACCTGCACCAAGAATGAAAGAACTTGATTCTTCTGACACGACAACTACAGTATAACCAATTCTAAATATGGGACTTTTGGACTGGAATTTAGGCAGAACAGTTATGTCATTTGCTTCTGTATCATTCTTTCAATTACATAAATATAATAAAAAAAATTATTTATTTAAACATAACCTTAAGTAATTCAGATTTGGTAAACATTCACAGTGTTGATAATTCAATACATTTTGTCCAGTCATAGCTAGGGATGCCAGAAACTGACCATGATCAAATTAGAAAATCGGACAGCCCTGGCGAATATTAATCGATTATTCGCTGGCATCCCTAGTCATAGCATTGATTTGCTTTTGATGTCTCTGGCTCAATGAGGGCTTCAAGACCCTGATAGTGCTGTGACTATAAGATGAGAAAATTGGTAAACTTTCGAATAAGAGGAGGAGATTGCCTCCAAACATCAATAAGAGGGAAGTTTTCTTTGCAAGTGCTGGAAAGTGAGATTTTAAAGCCAGAAATCAAAGCAGCTGATAGATAATTGCTGCTTCAGAATGGATCAATGACCATACATGTTGTCAGTTTTATGCTAACTGTCACCAATGACTATTAACAATATCATTCCATGTTTGTCTATAGAACCAGCACAAATGACTACTTACGCTAGGCCTTTTAAACAGCAATCGAATCAATGGCATTGAACCAAATGACCATATGTGAGATATTTTCAGCAGGGGCATTCCCCGCTGGTGTTCGCCCTGCCATGCTTTGCAGCTGCTTCCTGCAGAGCTGACTGGCTGTGGGTGGGCTCTCAACATTGAGGGGATTTTAGTTAAACCCAACTGCGGAGAATAAAGCCAATCTCTTATCTCGTGTTAGATTTGGCATGACAAAAAGGTTGCCTGTTGGAATGCTAAACATCACTTCAGCTTCTTCACTATGATATAGGGATTTATTTTAAAGATATTTTTTAACATAATATTTAATAATTTTAACCTGGCACAATGTGTTCTATTAGGAGAAATAAGGAAGTGGTGTGGCATCATCAGAAGTCATCCCAAGTAGCAAGGGTAGTGACTTAAGGCTGAGTCATTCAGCTCCAAGTGTTACCATTTCTTCATATCCTCTCATCCTCGTCGCATTTCCCGTCGTCTCTGGTCATCTCTAATTCGGTGTCTATGCTGTTTGCTGCTTCAAATGAAGTTTCAATCGTCATATGGAAACCTCATAGCCAGAGGAAGTGTTACTCACCACATCCCGTCAACACAGCTGGACCAAGCAGCTGATGCTCAACCATGCTGCAACATGTGTTTTGTATGTGATCACTGACCACAGCATTTGTTTATGCACTCAGTCTGAAGGGAATATAATTTTTGCATTTTCAAGGGAGTCTTTACTCATTCTGCATTTTCCATAAATCCACAAGCATTTTTTGGATTTGGATGGCATTATATCAGTTTTATAAACAGATCAAATCAAGACCAAGTTGGAGTAAGCAGAATGATCCTTTACCATTTCAAAAAAACTATCTACAAGCAGACTATACATGTCTAGATATATTTTTAGACTAATCAGTCAGACAATCCTCCACCCAAAACACTTTTAATTCACACGCACCTTTTTCCTGCAACACCCACATCAGTGTCTTAATGTAGCTGCTACCCTTAAATAGCATCCGAGAGTTACGTAGGGGAAATATTCTGTGGTAGGAAATAATTATTGCCCGCACTTGTGCATAGATGTCTTTAATGCAAAATGTGTGTGAAGTCTTCCAAGCTGAGAAAAAAAAAAAGTTGTGAGCTTTTCAACATAAAGTCTTTTTTCTTCCTAGTTTAAGTCTGGTAAATTGTGAACAAAAATAGACTAAGCTGTTTCTTAAGAAAGATGGAAAGTGCAGAGATATATTTGCCATGGGTTTATTAATTTTATTTCCATGTCGCTAAGAATAGTTTCCATGCTGCACACGTGTCCACTCAACTTCACAAGCTCAGTCTTCCAGCAGTCACTTTCGATAAACGGTACTTTTTAGATTTTCAGCTGTAGGAAAAAATCCAATATATTGCTACTTTCTTATTCAGGGCTGCACAGCTGTGACATATTTTCCATCTGCAAAAATAAAGTAAGAAAACGTATTAAAGGGCGGAGGTCATTTTGCTCAACTATGGGGATGCTTGTTGGGCTCATTCCATCAGGCGGCAACAAAGTGATCCATTCCTTCTTGTACACATTTTCAGCCCTTTTCAAAATATGATGTACTTAAAGTGTTTTTTATTCTATAACCCAAAACATGTTTTTTTATTGAGAGAATGTTAAAATATTGGTATGTTTCTGAAGTTCTGTTAGAGTACTTTTACAGTATGGAAGAAATATTCTGACTTTAGTTACTGTGGACAAAATAACTGCACATATTAAATCAATTATCTTCTTTACAGCTGCAGGGATTATGTCACAGCAAGCAACTAATATGCCTATTTGAAAATGTTGAAATAGGCTAAGTATATTTTCCCAGTGTTTGTGTTTTTTTTCCAGTAAACCAGACTGTATTGCACAATTTTTTCTAAGTAGCCACAACTCAGTATGACACAACTGTCATGGTGGGAGAAATATCCTTAAACCAGTTATGCCCACCTCTAAACAGGGAGACTATTTCCAAATTGAAAAAACCAGGGTCAAGCAAGTTTATTTGTACTTGTGTACTTGAGAAACACCGAACTACAACCAGAACCTTAAGGCGTCCTGTTTAGCTGACCTTTGGCTGTGACCTCTGGAGGTGGCAATGTAAAAAGAAAACAGCCCTACAGGGACTAAGCACAAGTCGAATTATTTATAACATATCTAGACTGACCACACTATGCACCAATATTCTCCATAGCCGTGGGGTTTACTATTTGCTAACATTTGCATATACTATTGGTATAGTATAGTACAGTGATGCAAACGAAGGTATGGTGAAAAAAGAGAGAACTATTTGAAGCAGAAAAAGAACAGCGTAATATACCATCTGACAAAGGCCTGTGCTATTAATGCTTCAATGAACTATTCTTATATTAATATTACTCAGATCATAGGCAGACAGAGACTGTAAGTTATAAATCCAAAGGGTTTTTATGATTATTTACAGCAGGAGGTTAGGGGAACCTTTTTCCTTTACATTTTCACAACATCCTCCGCAGGGCCGCTACAAATTATTGAAACTCAACCTCTGGCTTAAAAAAATAAAATCATAGCCCATTCATATTGGCCTTGTCCTTTCGTATGCGTGCTGCAAAGGAAAAAGCCAACCTCTTGAATCCAGATATCTCACCATGACTCGCGCATGCATGTGCCCACGGTGTGGCCCTATGACACCAAACAGCAAGGAAATATATGGACACAAAGATGTGTGCAACTGTAATTTAGATATCCATGTGACATGATTTAAGTGGGGGGACTAACCTTCTCTAGGTGGGTGGGGAATTTTTTTAAATATTGAGGTTAAAAATTAATCAATCCTGGTGCCACTTTGCAGAGCAACATGAGGAGATCTATGGTGCTACATCTTTCAAACACCCATTTGAAACAGAACGTTGAAGCAGATTTTTCTTTTGGGATATTTTACAATCACTTCCCTTCTTTAACTCTATTCTTGTTATTTTAAAACTTTTTTTCGTTACAGTCATATGTATTTATGCCTGTTTTTCATTTAGTCTCTAATGTCTCATTAATAACTATAATGATCATATCAACGGTGTGCCTTAACTCACTGAAGCCTGAGTCATTGCAGCCTCTCAGGGAGAGAGGCTCTCTTCCACCTGGTTGTAGAAACGCTCTTTAAGTTCGTTGCAGTAGCCTAGCTAACCAGATGCTGAATAAAAAACAACAACAGATCGCCCACTGTGTTACAACTAAAAGACACAGCCTCGCGAAACACTGCACGGGATGTGTACGGGCCTCTTACGGGTACTGCGAATATTTGAGAGCTGGAGCGGCGTTCCGGGTGCTCTTCCGTAAGCACTCTAGTCTACACTCCTTTTCAGACGAGACCATAACCACGGAAGACACGTACGGGCTCGTGTTGTGTTCAAGGAACCTTGTCCTTGGCCAGGAAAACAGCGCAACTCGCTTGTTTAATTTATTTTTG